AGAATTTGCAAGAATAGCAGGAAACACAGGGAATAATATCCTATACCACAGATTGAGAGCCAATGTTCTGGTGGTTTTAATGGCCCTGTGCCTTTTGGATTCATTACGCTGAAATGGATTTTGCTCTTCTCCACTGACTAGAGATATCTTTGTGAGCATGGGGCTGATTTAAGCAACAAATTCATTCCCAGTGTGTAAATGGCGTTACTCTGGGAGTCATCCTCCTCACAGAATTGCTTTGCAAAAATGTATGACTGGACCAAATAGATGTGTCCAAGGCCAAGCTGGAGAGGGCTTGGAGCAACCTGCTCTAGTGGAAGGTGTCCCTGCCTACGGCAGGGGGGTGGGAACGGGGGGGGGTGTAGGGTCCAACTCAAACCCCTCTATGATCCTGTGAATGGTTCTTTTGAACAATCAAACAAGATTGTCCATGGGAGTAATTGTCTATGGAGAATCACTCCATCTATTATGTCAATTGTTGTTACTTAAACATCAGTTTGATATTCTGACACTGAATTTAGCCTAAAATTACTCAAAGTCACATCATCCAGAATAAAGCAGCAGGGAAGGAGCCTGTATGACAAGAGTACAGGTCCCAGGCTTCCCATAAAACTATTAGCAAAGAACCATATTCTCTGAAATGATGTCACTGGGGCCAGATGCATCACAGTGAGAGAAGCTTCTGACCAAAACTGCAGTTCCTCAGTTACACAATGTGATGACAAATATATCTAAGCACTGGCTACGTGACAACTTCCACCTTTGCAACCCACTCTCAGCCACAAAAACTGTGAAGGAAAGGTTCAAGGATGAAATGCCTCATATCAGACCCTCTTCCAGATAGTCCCAGAAGAGCTGAGGCATTCTGCTGCCCCAGAATAACACAGACTCCTCTGATGAGCTAAAATAGAGAGGCAGTTTGCATACCTACAACAGAAGCACAAGAACTTCTTCATCAGTTCGTGATCACCTACTCAGATAAGTAGGTACCTCAAAGACAAGAATAGGCTTCTTTTAAGTACCATTAGTTGCCCTTCCACTCCTCTGTCCTGCCAACCACTGAGGGCTGCTGAAGCACTCTCTTGGTCAGGCCAATCTCCTGGCTCCTGTGGGTTTTCCATACCTCTGTAAGCGTGACTCGAGGAAGGGCAGTCGCTCCTCTCTCAAGCTGCCTCCACACAACTCCCCTACTCCTGGCACCAGGAGATCAACTGCTGCAACCTTGAAAGATAGAAAACTGATTTAAGCCGCCTCATACAGCCATACATCTGTGGCAGAAGTACAGTTGACACTGATGGTTGTTTGCACTTAGGTAAAGTATTTGTATGTGCTTGAAAAGTCCCTGGCTGACAGGAGAAGGCTGGGAGGGAACTTCTCAGTGATAACCACCAGTAAGTCTACAGAAAACCAAAATGAGTGCAGTGATGTTCCAGACTGAGGACACCTACAGCAGGTGGTGTGAGCTGAATCCCACCAGGCCACTGCACTGACAACCTGTGTATGTAGGCAAGCCTGTGCAGGGTATAAAGAACCCAACAGCAACTCACAAGAAAGGGAAGACACACAGGCAGCTTTCCTGAAGCCCTGGTTCCCTTAGAGTTTAAGCTGCTCTGACGCTGTAACTTGTGTTTGCCCCCAGCTGCCCCCATTCCTTGAGCCAGCACTAGTGGTAATTATACCAATGGATAAATGGTCCCAGGGTTACCACTTCAATGGTTAGGTTTGGGCTGGCTGTCTCCTCTGTATTCTAGGGATACTTTCCTTATCCCACAGCTGAACTGTTGCTAAAATTAAAGCCACTGAAGTGACAGTGGCACACGGTGTGGTAATTGCTCCTTTTATCAGAAGCAATGCTTCATGTTGTCTCAGTTAACTGTGAAATCACACCTTCAAAGCATGAGACTTGTGGAGTAAGAGCTTACTTCTTGTGCCCATTTGCTGTTTGAGGATTACACGGATGCCACATTTGGATGACAAGAAAATCATGGACTACTTGAAGCCATGCAATTGTAGGCTTTTCACCCAGTAGTACAGAAGTTTACCAGGAAAATACACTATGGCAAACTTGTCTTAAGGGACTTAAGCAAAAACTTCACACTATCCAAATCCTGAATCTTTCTCTTCCTCTCGTTCCTGCTTTGAGGATTTATTCTACAACAGGAAAAAGATTGGAGAGGATCACCTAATGGTCACATCTTACCTTGGACTTCTTGAGTACAGACACAGAAGAAGACTATCCTTATGTATGTATGTATCTATAGGCTAAGACACAAGCCTAACCAAAGAAGTGGTGGAAGTGTGACCCACGGACTCACTGTATGTTGAGGTCCATCTTCGTTGTCCCGCATGTAGAAAGGTTTGAGGTCATATGGGTAGTTAATCACAAACACAGGAACCTCACCACAGTGCTTCACCAGGTACTTTTCATGCTCCGTTTGGAGGTCACAGCCCCACTGTAAAGACAGAGAAAGGGACCTGGGATCCTGCTCTGGTGCATCTTGCCTGTGGCAAGAGACCCAGCAAAATCCCTGCACAGGAGATATTGCAGCTTCAAATAACATGAAATCAAGCACAGCAACTTCTCACACAGGTCACTGGGAAGATCTGTTAAGCAGACAGAGATTCATGAGTTTTAAGGCAGAGTAAATCAATGAAAATAATATGGTTTAGCTTTCACAGAACAGGCACAGATCATTCCTGCATCAAGTCCAAGCATCGAGTATCAAATCAGAACAAACCCCAAACAAACAAAATATAAAGCCCCAAACCACACTCCACATAGCTCAAGGGAAACAGGCATCTATCTAAAGTCAGCTTACTCAAGCCAGCAACCCAGCCTTGTTTCAGTATTACCTTTGGTATTTAGAAAGCAGCTTTGCTAGGCTGACCGCTCTCTTCCCCGCTGGGTCCTCTTACATGCTACATTAATTCTCACTTAAGAAAACCCAGCATCCTATTAACCAATTCTCTGTTATAAGAAACCATGGACATGCAATGCCCTTCACATCTCCTTTCTTCCAGTGATGTTATAAATTCTGTGCCTTTTGACTACAGACCATTATAGGATGCGCAGAGAATACTAGGGGAGTGGAAAAGGAAGAGGGGAACGGATACTCTGCAGGCTCTCTTCATCTGAACTACATTTGCTGTCTCAGATCAAGGTAGTACAGATACAGGATTTGAGGTTCTACACCCACTTGTACACAGAGATAAGACAGTTACCCAAATGGCTATGAAGGTGGCTTCAGCCAGAGGGTTATTTTCCTCAAAGCATCAGATCGAGGTGAAGATTAATCAGTATACACGAGATAAGCATCACCACGAACACTCTCCCTGCTGCTGTGTGTCTCTGAAATTGGGCAAAATATGAGTGTTGGAAAACCACAGAGTAACAGACTGGTTTGGGTTGGAAGGGACCTTAAAGCTCATCCAGTCCCAAGCCCCTGCCACGGGCAGGGACACCTTCCACTAGAGCAGGTTGCTCCAAGCCCCCGTGTCCAACCTGGCCTTGAACACTGCCAGGGATGGGGCATAATACCATAACTTAAGAGTGTTATAAAAAGCTGCATATGATTCTTTTTCCCAGTCAACATCTATGCTTTGGGAAGGCAATGGATTCCCATCACTGACATCTAGATTACATGGTGTTTTGATGTGGTTTTGGCTTCTTAGCCCTTGTCAAACTTTTGGTGCTCTCCTAATATCATTCCTTTATTTGAGGACTGTTGTAGCACCTCTCCTTAGATCACTGCTACTGAACCCACAACACACTCAGCACTACTCACATACAGGAAAGTGAAGTGCCTTCGCTAAAGCCTCGGTCCTTGAAGAGCAAACTCATCACTTCCTTCCCTGCATGTTACACGTTCTATTACAGATCTCACTCTTTATATTGCTGTTCAAAGGTACAGGGACAAGCCAGCAGGCAACCACCTACCTCTGGCTTGAAAGTGAAAGCTTGAGAAGCTTGCTTCAGAATTTCCATTGCTTCGCTGTAGGAAATGCTGCAAGAGGAGGAAAAAAAAGTCTTTAAGATAACTATGAGAGGAATAACAAAGTTTTCTGGCTAAGAGCCACGCTGGAAAATGAAGGAGGCATTTCCCCACCACCATGCCAACTTGTGCTGTGATGTCAGACTTCCCAGCAATGCTTCTTTGGATAGAAACCAAACCCCATTTTACATGGCAAAGAACGCTGTTTTCCTGTGCTTCAGCTACATGCAGGGCAGGAAGCGCCAAGCTCTCAAAACACTTCTGCATTATTGCAATGTTGCATTTTAGTCAGAAGTGAGCTCTGCAGAGAATTGCTTCTTATAAAGTGGTGGAAAACATTTTGTCATCAGCACAGCTCCAACAGCACAGCTCTCCTGTTCAGGATGGTGTTAAGCAAAAATAACAGCCAGAGTGCAAAGGGCTTGGAGCTCAAACATCTTCATTTTAAAGATGTTGAGATTAATTTCAGGCTGGATGTGAGAAAAAAGTGCTTTACAATGAGGGTGGTAAAACACTGGCACAGGTTGCCCAGAGAGGTGGTGGATGTGCCACCCTTGGAGACATTTAAGGCCAGGCTGAGCAATCTGATCTAGCCGAAGATGCCCCTGTTCATTGCAGGGGGGTTGGACTAGATGAGCTTTAAAGATCCCTTCCAACCCAAACTGTTCTATGGTTCTATGATTTGCAGCAATGTTTCTCTGCTCCTCTGGTAGAGGGGTTGGAACTAGATGATCTTAAGGTCCTCTCCAACCCTCACCATTCTGTGATTCTATGATCCCAGAGTGGATTCTCTTCCTACTTCCAGCAGTACAAAGTAACAGCATCATGGCAGAGCAAACAGAGGAAGTGCAGTGGAAGATGCTGCAGGTTTGGTAACTGGAAATCAAGACTCAGTGGAAGATACTTCTGCTGACAAGTTTTCCACGTACCAAGAAAATGTTGTGGGCAGAGTGAATTAAAAATAACCTGATCCCAGTGATTTAATCTCTCTGTATCATTGACTAAATCCAGCTATAAGCCAAATTCCCTAAAGGGCACAAGCTCCTTACACCCAGTTACAAGGTTTCACCAATACAGGGAAGGCTTCTGGAGGAAATACCTGAAGAAGGAGTATATTGCTCCATGTGTTTGGGTTATATGAGGCCATGGTCCAAGTGAGGTATAGCATTGGCAGAGGTTCAACACATGTAACTGACGTGTATAAGCCAGGAATGCATGAAGAGGGAGAAAGAGAGGGAGAGAGATGGGCTGACTCACTCTCTTTTTCCTTGGACCATGGGAGAAGCTGGGTGCAACTCTGTCCTCCTGGGAATATCAGTTAGATCCAAAGGGAAAAGGACTGACATGGGGAGACAGCGACTTCATTGAGGTCTTCCATGGTGCTTAATGCAGGCACGAGGCACAGGGAGGATCTATCATGATCCTGTTGCCCACGTGTGGCTGTAGCTTAACAGGAAAACCAGTGCTGGGCTGAGCAGCCCTACAATGTTCTGTGGGATGAATGGAGAGCACCACTATTTGAAGAGACAGCCAAGAGTAGGGAAGATGATGTATTCTTGGGGGCCAAGGAGGGAAAGCAAAACCCTTCAGTTCTTTAGCATGCATAGAACTGGCAGCTGCACAAGCAATTGGAAATAGAAAACCAACTTGAATGTTTAAACATCAAACAATAGTTTCATAATAAGGGAGCCACTGGAGTAGAAGCTTAAAGAAAGGCAGAGCACCAAAGCCAAAACCAAGCAAGAGTGAGCAAACCACTGTGCAGGTACATGCTGAAAGCAGGATACCCATATAGAAAGAGGATCTTGCCCAGGGAAGCAAAAGCCAAAGGCCAGCAAATTCAGATGCCAGCCTCATGCAATAGAGTACAAAGGGAACTGCAGTTTGTGCTCTTTTAGAGACATAACTCTAACTCAGAAGACAATGAGTTGGGAAAGAAAAAGAACATACAAAACCAGGAACTCTTACCTCTTCCAGATCACTTTGAAATACAAGTACTTACATTACAAATTTGTTCTTCAGCATTTGTTCCAACCTGCCCTTGGTCAAAACAAGAGAAAATAAAAATGTAAAGCTACTCTCAAGGGTTCAAGGAACCAGAGAAAAGTCAGAAAAGTTCCTCCAAGTTTTAACTTGTGGGTCTGCATTGCCATCTAAATACGGGCTAAAATCCCAGCCATCCAGTGCTCAAAGGGTACCACATTACTGCAGCTGATGATTCAGAGGTTGCTGGATGGTGTGACAGCTACAGTTATGCCACATGTGCTATCAGCTACAGAAAGTTGTGTGTCCTCTCTGTCTTGGTGTGAACACTCACTTAAGCTCAGACTGACCTTTAGCTCTTCATAGTTTGGTAACACAGGACAACACAGTAATAAAAATAATAACAAAATTAAGCCCCCCTGTAGCCAAAAGCCCCCAAAATGCATAAATTGCAGCTCTTTCCTGTCACATTTATTACCTTCTGGGCAGGAGCTATGTATTTATGAAATAGCTCAACATCACGAGGACATTTGGAGAGCACAGTGCTTGTTACAGTCTTGAAAAGATCTTCCATAACCTAATAGAGAAAACAGGAGGGCATGAAAAACTAACACTGCTTAGATGTCCCAGGCTATAAATAAAACACAGTATGCATCAGCCAAAGGGTAGCGAAGGAGCTTCTGTCCTTCTGCATGGTCAGACTGCATAAAAGGGTGCTAGCTTGTTAATGCTCCTCATTAGCAGGCTTGCTCAGTAGCTGAAGAGGCCTGGGACCTGTATTTCTGCTGTGGGTTTAGGGCTTCAGTGCCTGCTGATGGTCTCAGTACCTTCAGTCAGGTATCTCCAGTGAAAAAGGCACAGCTGAAGTACTCAAGCGGCAGCCCTGGGCAGCCTCAAACACCCACTTTACAACCATTTGTGTTAAGTGATTTCAGATTAATTATTAGTGGGGTGTCTGTTCTGTAATGAGCAATTCTGGGTTTGTGCTTTGTTGTTAAAAGAGGAAGAAGTAAAGGAAAGGAGTACTTGCAGCACTATGTGCAGTTCTAGTGTCCTTAACACAAGAAGGACATGGAGCTGTTGGAGCAAGCTCAGAGGAGGACATGAGGATGATCAGGGGCTGGAGCAGCTCCTGTAAGCATCTCCTGTGTGAAGACAGGCTGAGAACACTGGGGCTGTTCAGGCTGGAGAAGAGAAGCTGCATGGAAACCTCAGAGCAGCTTCCAGTGTCTGAAGGGGGCTACAAGGATGCTGGGGAGGGACCTTCATCAGGGACTGGAGTGATAGGACAAGGGGTGATGGGTTCAAACTGAAACAGGGGAAGTTCAGAAAGAAGTTCTTCCCTGTGAGGGTGCTGAGGTGCTGGCACAGGGTGCCCAGAGAAGTGGTAAATGCTCCATCCCTGGCAGTGTTCAAGGCCAGGCTGGACAGAGCCTTGGGTGACATGGTCTAGTGTGTGGTGTCCCTGCTCGTGGCAGGGGGGTGGAACTGGATGATCTTAAGGTCCTTTCCAACTCAAACCAGTCTGTGATTCTGTGAAATGTGTACTGTGTAGAGCCAGCCCATCAAACAGATCCCAGCTACAGAGACTGTGCTCAGCAAGAGCAAAGCAAAGAGAACATGGACAGAGATGAGAAGAGAGCTAAAGCAGAGGACAGCAATGCATGGATGTTTGAGAAACTAAAATAGATGTGGTTTCATTTCCCTAAACTAATGCGAATTAACTATATGACATTACCATGCAATTTGGATACACTTATCCAGTAAAACGGGCTTCACCCATAAGAAATCAAAATGCCATTTTGATTCTGAACAAGAAAAGCCCCCATGTGGGATGCCCTGGCATTGTGATCAACTTTGAAAGTGATCTTCTCTATTGAATAAGCAAAGCAGACCATCCAAGACACTTGCTGTTGTGCAGGTTAAGAGTTCTCATGGCTCCTCATAGCCCTACACCTGCACAAAGAGGTGGTTGGTACCTGTGTAGTGCTGATGATCCCAACTCTTCTTCACAACCAACCTCCTTATTCTCATCTCCTTTGGAACAGAGCCATGCAGCTGGGCTGCACACCTCAGCCTGGGATGGGACCAGGTTTTTCCTGGGTTTTATTGTGAGCATCATTAATTGTAGAGTTGAGAGAAGCGAAGTATCCACTGATGATATCTAGGTGAGTAGCAGGACCTAGACATAGCAAAGCCCAGGGGAGACTGTGACAAGATGAACCTGACATTCAGTCAGCAGATCTGAGCAGGTCTCTGCCTTGCAAAGAACCAGATCTTAGAGGGTAAGAGGAAGAAAAGGCACAGAAAAGAAGCTGGGCTACTGACACAGCCAAGATGAGATTTCAGGCACGTTATTCAAAATCTTATGTTTAGAAGAACATCCTTCATCACCTGAACTACCTCTGCATCCCACCAGCCCAGAGTAGCTGGTAAATCCATTCTGACTCCTCTGGAGCCAAACTCAGCCTCCAGACTCCTGCATCAACCTGGGCCCTCAAGATCCAAATAAAGGAACAGCATTACCATATGCAGATGAACAGTTTTCCCCCTCCTGGTACTCAAGTACAGAGGAAATGAAAAGCCAGCATTCCTGAACCAACCAGGCAGCTTTGAACTTTCTTCAAAGTAGCTTGGAAAAGGCTTATGCAAATGAAATTAGAAAACTTCTTGGCACTTCATCTGGTTTCACCAGGCAGAGACAAAGGGATTTTACATGAAGCTTCCTCTTTCTAGAAAATGAAAGTATCATCTGGTTTCAGAAGAGCATGTTGTTTAATTAGCACTTCTTTTCCTCGCTGTGCGATAAAGTAACAGTTAGGTTCCCACAGCATTCAACATGAGCAGCTTCCTCCTGTGGAAAAAAGAGGTGGGTGGGATGGGAAAAACAATCTGAGAAACATTTCCAGGTTTGAAATGGAGGTTTTTTATCCTGGCAAAAGAGACAGACATGTGGGTCATGCATTGGCCTCCTCGCTGCTCTTAGTTCTTATTCATGCCAAATGTGCATTAGGCATGAACAGTGGAGGGGAAAAAGGAAGGGAGGGGGAGAAAATGCTGTTGAACTGAGAAGTTCTGGCTTTAAGCATAATGAAGGACTGGAGAGTAGGCTGTATGAAAACAAGTGGGGAAGAATAAGCACTGGCTTGCTGGTTTGAGGGAATGCGTGAGCTGGAGATACAGGCAAAGTGATTGGTTTGAATATATCCTGAAAGAAACATGGGACTGTAGTGGTAGGACAAGGGTGGCGGGCTCAAACTTAAACAAGAGAGATTTAGATATAAGGCAGAAGTTCTTCCCTGTGAGGGTGCTGAGGCACTGGCACAGGGTGCCCAGAGAAGCTGTGGCTGCCCCGTCCCTGGCAGTGTTCAAGGCCAGGTTGGACACAGGAGCTTGGAGCAACCTGCTCTAGTGGAAGGTGTCCCTGCCCGTGGCAGGGGTTGGAACTGTGTGAGCTTTAAGGTACCTTCAGCCCAAACCAGTCTGTTACTCTGTGATTCTATAACAACAGCATCTCTCCAGAGTGGGTCCTGAGCTGTTGGTTATATAGCTGAGAGAGGAGAATTTATGAGCAAGATGAGATGCAAATCTCCCCTCTGTGTGTGTGTGTAGATGTGCACACACGTACAGTGTGTGGGAGCAAGCATGAAGGCAAAAAATAGTGGTCCACTTGAAAGTTGCATATGTAAATACCCTGTGATCTACACTGCATCCATATGCATGTCCCAGATAAATAGAGCAACACAAATTCTACTGGCTCCTCTTGTGATTTTTCTCGAAGTGTCTTATGCAATAAAGATGATAATTTGAACCCCTCTTATAGTACAGAGCACCTTCAATTGCTGCTACTGACATTTACTGCTGTTTTTCTGATGATTTCCTCTGTTTCAACTCTGGTCATAATTTTATTTGGGAAGAGGATAAGCTGCAATATCAAAAGATCCAAGTTAAAATTAAACAATACAGTTGGGAGCTGCTCCTCATCAAAATTGGACAGTTAACCATTATGTTCCACAGCAACATTGGGGAAAGCCAGGATTGATTCTGCTGAACTGCTCTGAAAAGTGAAGAGAGAAAGGCTGGGAGGGATGAGGGAGAAGGGGGAACATCCCTCTATCCTTTGTGCCTGCCCTCATACCAGCAGAACTTCTACATTCCCATTATGAAGCAACCAAATTAATGGGCTTTTGGACATAAGGCTCACCTCTGGGATGAGCCACTTGCTACGATTTCAATGGCTTTTTCCTTGTCTAAGGCTCTTCCCAAACAGAATCGCAGAATCCCAGACTGGTTTGTGTTGGAAGGGACCTTAAAGCTCATCCAGCTCCAACCCCTGCCATGGGCAGGGACACCTTCCACTAGAGCAGGTTGCTCCAAGCCCCTGTGTCCAACCTGGCCTTGAACACTGCCAGGGATGGGGCAGCCACAGCTTCTCTGGGCACCCTGTGCCAGCACCTCAGCACCCTCACAGGGAAGAACTTCTGCCTAAGAGCTCATCTCAATCTCCCCTCTGGCAGGTTCAAGCCATTCCCCTTGGCCTGTCCCTACAGGTCCTTGTCAAATGGACTCGTGTCATGAAAGTAAGGAGACTCTTGTCTGTCAGACCACTTCTTCACAGGCCATTGAACCTGAGCAATAAATGCTGATGGATGTTAGGGAACAGAAAGAGCCTCAGTTATGTCTGCTGGATGCCACTTCAGTAAGGAACCTATAGCCCTGCAGATACCCAGATGTCCCTACAGAGTGCTGTGCAAGGCACCTGGAACAAATCCTTCCCATGTGCTTACCAGTGTTTGTTCCTGGAGTCTGCAGTCAGATTTGCCCAACTGCCTTCGCCTTGGCACTGAAGACAGAAAGTATTCTGAGTGCAAACTGCTCTGGGAATGAACCCACACCCTTGTTTCAGATCTAAGGTGCCCTGAAACGGACACCCAAATCCAGCACTACTGCTGACTTCATCTCATGCCTCAAATCCCTTCTGTAAATGGAGGTAATAATGCTCCATGTTGCTGGGCTGTAATGACAGCAAACTAATTTTGATGAAGTACATAACTAGTGGAAGACGATACTTCTGCCCTCAGGCCAGAGCTCAAATACTGTGTGTTAAATTGTATTCTTCATCTTAAAGAGATGTATTACCCATCTCTTAAAGAGACAGTGGTGCTAGGGTGTAGTCTTGTCAAGGAAGACTAACGCTATGCACAAATGCCCTCAGGAAAACTTCCTTCTGGCATTTCCTAATTATATAGCCTAAATATTGTGTTTTTTAACATGGTTTTGTATGTGTGTTTGATGGAATTCAATAATGCCTGCACATATGGCCTCTTTGAGACCCCATCAGTGTCATGAGTGAAGTGGAATCCTTTAAATCCAATGCACTGCCAAGACAGAGGAATAAGAATAGAAGATAATGACCTACAAATACAGCTACAGGACACGGCACTGAAGAGAGGAGGAGAGTGGGCAGCAGGCATCTCGAAGCACAGATGAGAGTGGAGACCTTGGACATTGAACTCAGGGACTAGAGGGGCAATGGCTCCAGTGAATCCAGAGATTTCCATGCAAACTGGACCCCTTCTACAAAGATGCTGCTGCGAGGGCTGGAGCAGCTCTGCTCTGGAGCCAGGCTGAGAGAGCTGGGCTGGGGCAGCTGGAGAAGAGAAGGCTCCTCAAGGGGACACCTTAGAGCAGCTCCAGGGCCTAAAGGGGCTCCAGGAAACCTGGAGAGGGGCTTTTGGAAAAGGGCCTGTAGGGACAGGACAAGGGGAATGGCTTGAACCTGCCAGAGGGGAGATTGAGATGAGCTCTGAGGCAGAAGCTCTTCCCTGGGAGGGTGCTGAGGCACGGGCACAGGGTGCCCAGAGGAGCTGTGGCTGCCCCATCCCTGGCAGTGTTCAAGGCCAGGTTGGACACAGGGGCTTGGAGCAACCTGCTCTAGTGGAAGGTGTCCCTGCCCGTGGCAGGGGGTTGGAACTGGAGGAGCTTTAAGGTCCCTTCCAACACAAACCAGTCTGATTCTATAATACTGTCTTAACCTGATCTTCGTCTAACTGCCTCTCTTTCTCATCCAGTTTGAAAGAGAAGTGCCTTGGGGCAACTTGACTCTTCTGGAAGAGGCCACAGAGGCCTCTCCTCAGATACACTCACATAAACCCTGTGCATGACAGCAGTAACACTGTCACCCAGCCATGCAGCATTGAGTGCTACACTGAGTACATGGGACTTTCCACAGAAAGTATTGTGAAACCAGCATCATGAGAGTTTAAGCTTCCTTGTAGCACTAAAACACATTTTGGCACAAAATACACATTTAGATTGCATTATCAAGACACATGAGACTCCACAGGAATTGTGCTACTAATTTAGGAATAACTGAGCACTATTCCAGGCTATTATGGTGGGGAAAAAAGGCTGTTGCTCCAAGATTTCAGGCCCTTTGCTCCCAAATACATGTAACTTTGTTATTAAATCTTCCTTTTCCTTTTATTATGTAAGGAAACCTGTGTCTTTTGGAGCTTTGGCTGGAGAAAGCACTCCGTTTACCAGAGAATGGTAAACATGTACCTCTTTGTAGCAAGGCTATTCCTTCATGGTGTAGAAGCACATACTTCACTATGAGCATTCCCAGCACACTGACTTGCTGCAGTTAAGAGGTATTCAGTCCAAATGGTGAATAGCAGTTTTAAAAATAAAGTTTGAAACAATCCAGCTCTTATGTGAGGACAAAGTTCAGATGCTCACCCTGGCCAAGAGCCCCCGAGGCTTTCAACTGGGCGTTCTGCACTCAACAAAGAACTTGCAGATGACGACAAACCAACTGCCCAAGGGGCAGATCCATGAGAGAACATTGAATTTAGGTCAGTTATGAAGGGAAAAAGAAACTTAAGTTTAAGGCTCTGGAGCAGCTGCCAGGTTTGTTTTGTTTTGAAGGAGAGATTGCCCAATGGTTTAAAAATAAGTGAAATGGGAACTTCACTTCTGCAAATGAGAACACCACAGAAGTAAGCGTGTTGCAATGTAGGCTCACTATGAGGAATCCAAAACCATGGCTCCTAGGAGACTTTCTGCTATAGGGTAAGACTTTGGAACAGAGAGAAGAAGAGAAAGAGGAGAACACAAGCAGAGACTTCACAAGATGTTTAGCAACAACAAAAGCCAAGCTAAGGGGGGGAAGTAAAAAATAAAAGCCCTACATATTCCAGAACAGTTCTCAAACCTCATTCTCCAAACTGTCTGAACTGGCTGTCTATGCTTTAAAAGCCAAGAAGTTACAGTTCTTGGCACAGGAGTACAGATACACAGAGATACAGTACTGAGAAAGGGGAGATTGAGATGAGCTCTGAGGCAGAAGCTCTCCTCTGTGAGGGTGCTGAGGCGCTGGCACAGGGTGCCCAGAGAAGCTGTGGCTGCCCCATCCCTGGCAGTGTTCAAGGCCAGGTTGGACACAGGGGCTTGGAGCAACCTGCTCTAGTGGAAGGTGTCCCTGCCCGTGACAGGGGTTGGAACTGGAGGAGCTTTAAGGTCCCTTCCAGTCCAAACCAGTCTGAGATTCTAAGATTCTACATCTTCATGATGCGTTCAAGGGCTCGAACACAAGACCCTGTTTATTATACTAGATCAAGGCAGTGAATACTTCAATCAGCTCCTGATCACCTAGAGAAACAGGGGGCTCAAGAAGTAAGGCATAAACACAGACATATGCTGTGCTTTAAGAATACACATAGTTGTTCTGGAGAAGAGGAGAGAGAAATGAAAGAATGGGATGCTATTAGTGACAGAGCACAGAGATTCCCAACAGGTCAGCCCACACAACCCAGTGCCATCCAGACATCCAAGACACAGAAGCAGCACACACAAGAGATGGAGAAGAGAAGCTGCGTGGAGACCTCACAGCAGCCTTCCAATATCTGAAGGGGGCCTACAAGGATGCTGGGGAGGGACTCTTCATTAGGGACTCTAGTGGTGGGGTAAGGGGTGTTGGGTTTAAACTTAAACAGGGGAAGTTTAGATTAGACATAAGGAAGAAGTTCTTCACAGTGAGGGTGGTGAGGGACTGGAATAGGTTGCCCAAGGAAGTTGTGAATGCTCCAACCCTGGAGGTGTTCAAAGCCAGATTGGACAGAGCCTTGGGTGACATAGTTTAGTGTGTGGTGTCCCTGCTCATGGCAGGGGGGTTGGAACTAGATGATCTTAAGGTCCTTTCCAACCCTAACTATTCTATGATTCTATGTCAGCTCTGCTGTCAGGCCATACTGACTCAGCAGCCTGTATATGATCCAGGCTGAAGAAACCACCACCTGGATGTTATTTTTTACATCTGTAGCCACTGCCTCAGGTCTTTTTCTTTCTAAGGCTGTTTCTCCAATAGCTTCCCAAGGAGCTTATCTGATAGATGAGAGCATGTGGATGTTTACTTACAAGTCCTACTGGGCATAAGCTGGCTTGTGCTGAGACTAGTACAACGCATTAGCATCCATCATGAGGTTAAACTGAACCCAGAGGTCAATCCTGAAAAAATCAAAAGCTGACTAAGGATTTGTTTCAGTCTCCTGCTAGAGCCACAGACCACAATGTATGCCAGGAACTGCTGTTTCTATTTGAGATTTCAATGCAGGTTCCAAGGAGCTCTTTACAGGCACACCAAGGGATACACTGCAGAGATGCTGCTCAGACTCACTGGAGAGATGCTGAAGGTTTTGAAGGGGAGAGCGCCACTGTCATTAGCACCCATCAAGCACATTTACACATTTCCGGGCAACACAGCAACTGTGCAGCCTCCCATTCAGATGAGGGCTGTGTTTGCACCTTTCTCTTCCCTTCCAAATCCCCTCTGTGGCTTCACTTCTGCTGAGCAAACCCTGATCCTTGGGAAGTCTCTTTGCATCCTGTACATAAGGCGAAAGGAGCTGTGACCTCAGTCAAGGGCAGGAAGCACAGCTCAGGGAGAAAGCAGCAGCTCTGGCAGTGGTGCTGCAGAGATATTTGGAATGCTCACCTGCATGATGTCTTGGAGGCTCTCAGTGAAGGACAGCTCAGCCTCCACCATATAGAACTCTGCCAGATGCCGGCGACTCTGTGAGTTCTCTGCTCGGAACGTCGGGCCGAAGGTGAACACGTGGGTAAAAGCCCTGCAAGGCAACAAGAAACAGGTAGGTCAGGCCCAGCACACAAGTGAGTCTGTTATAAAGCCCTCATGTTTCTCCCAGGAGACAGAAGCACTCATGTTTCCATTTCATCTTTGACCTGTTTAATGGCACTGCTGGGTAGGCTGCTGTTATGCTCCTTCATCCAGGGATGGAGAGGGGTTATTCCATGACTCGGGGACGTTGCACAAACTCTATTCAGCTTTCACTGAACACCACTGATGCTCACGGAGCTTTTTGTAGCTGTGAGGGAATAAAGAATCCTGTTCTGCAGAACTAGATCACCGGAGGAGCACCCAGACATCGCTCCCCTCGTCCAGGTCCTTTCATGCTTTTTCGGCTGCAAGGTCTGACGTTTATGGGTGCTGTGACATCCCAGAGCTCAACACAGGAGAGAGGGTCCTGCTGCTGCTGTTAGCACTGAGAGGTGGCTGGTGAAGGCCAGCAGGGTGGATGTACGGTGTACGGCCTGCAGTCCCCCTCTAGTGGCAAGCCCAAAGGTTATTGCTGAAAAAGCCTTCAGATAAAAGAACTGGGCTCCTTCCACATAACTCAAAATGATTCAGCTAAAAGGGATCCCTGCTGCAGAGAACACATCTGGAGCATCATGTTATGCAGAAGCAACCAACACATTTCCTATTATAAAGCTATTTCTCCAGCAGCCTTCTGGGGACTCTACTTAAATACATCGAATCACAGAATCATAGAATAGTTTGGGCTAGAAAGGACGTTAAGATCATCCAGTTCCAACCCCCTGCCATGGGCAGGGACACCTCACACTAGACCATGTCGCCCAAGGCTCTGTCCAACCTGGCCTTGAACACTGCCAGGGATGGAGCATTAACCACTTCTTTGAGCAGACTGTTCAGTGCCTCATCACCCTCACAGGGAAGAACTTCTTCCTTGTATCTAACCTGAGCTTCCCCTGATAAAGTTTGAACCTATCACTCCTTGTCCTAGCGCTACAATCCTCTCTTGTTCTGCAGCCACATCATACTGCATTACACAGGATACAAAAAAGCCTTCTTGACTTTCCACTTCCTTCATAAAAAACCTTCCTATCAACAGCAACACACCTTTCAACAGTTATTTCTGCTGTGGGGAAGCTGCACTCCAAGCAATACCTTTTACACTGTGGGCTCTGAGCACTTGGGCTCCTGGACATCCTCAAGCCAGTGAGAGCTTCCCAAAGAGATGCTGTGGCAGCTGTGTTTCCTCTCAAGCTGCATGGAAAGCAAACCAAGATCAGGAAGTGATCTTGGCTTCACAAAACCCATGGACTGGGCAGCTGCTATCTTTGGGTACATCTTTAACTTGACATTATTATAGCTGTAGACAGCGTGTAGGAGCAAAAGAACCTGATCAGTAGAGATTAAGCACAGTTTAGCACTCATGAAAGGCTGTGTGATAATTGCTGGGGCTGGCATTTGACTTGCATCTTGCTCTGCAAGCTTTCAACTGACAGAGATGTTCACTGAAGTTTCTGCACAGCCTAATTTTGTTCAACTGAAGTTTAAATAAACAACGCTACAAAAAGCAGCGTTTTTCCTTTACCCCTGATGGAGGCATCTGCACCGCAAATAAAGGAACACACACATTCAGTTTCTCTCATCTGTTCCCTCATGTCACATGATGGTTAAAGGTTATGATCCAGAGAAACAGAACTTTCTTCTTCCTTGAGTTTCTAGTAGTAAACACACCAGAGGAAAGTTCCAGGTCAAGACTGAATACATAGTGTGCCTGTAGGTTTCCTTTTGCCATGGGCTCTGCTTTCCCTGCTCAAACAAACACACTTTCTTGTCTCTGCTTTGTTCCAATACCTGCACTCTTACATACGTAACCACAGCATCTATGATGCTAACCACATTTCAGAGCAAGTATCTTTCCTCAAGCATCATTTTCAGCTTGCCTCTTTTCCCTCTGCTGCCCTTCTCTCTTGCTGGGATGTTACTAGAAATTTCTGCCAGCACTTGATCATCCTCCTTCAAGCTGCTTTTTGCTGTAGTGTGTATAAAACCTCAGCAATGTTTAGATAAGTGACGTAGCAAGACTATTACTCACTGCACAGGTCAGTATTATCTCATCAGTTCCTTGTGCTCCCCCATCTGGAGCCATCTGTTGTCTTGGGTCACACAGAAACGCCTGTTCTTCCTCACAAGGCCTTTTTGGTTTGTTTTTCATTTTCCCATGTTCCTACAGCACCTGGCACAACAAGGTCTTGGATCCAAAGCTTAAGAGCCTCAACTGCTATAGCAATACAAACAACAAACATGAAACAATGAGTCACTGGCCAAAATTGTTCAATATAAATTCTGCTTGCCAGGCCACAGAGTTTGGCTTGCAGTGGGCAACAGGAGATGCAGATTCTCCTGCTACCTGTGCCCAGGTTTCAGGTTTTGCTGAAACATTCCAATGTGGGGCTCTTTGGTTAAAGAGTTACCCCATAATAAATAAATAACAATTGTGACTGGGTCAGGATTGGACACAAGACAAAAACATTTTGAAAAGCTTGCAATTGCTGGAGTACCCACTTGGGTCTGCTCGGTTTGATGTGCAGGTCTCTATGGTTGTGCTGATATGAAGTCCATAAAGTAACACTTGAAAGTAAAGTGTGATACCAGCTGGGTAGCAGGAGAACCTGTCCCACCAAGGAACAGCCACCAAGGAACAGCCTGGCTTCAGTGAGACACACATTTCTCACAGTTTTTAAGGAAGTTGAGGCTGTTCAGCCTGAGGAAGAGAAGCTGCGTGGAGACCTCAGAGCAGCTCCCAGTGCCTGAAGGGGGCTACAAGGGTGCTGTGGAGGGACCTTCACTGGGGACTGTAGTGAAGGACAAGGGGTGATGGGTTCAAACTGAAACAAGGGAGATTTAGGTTGGATCTAAGGATAAAGCTCTTCCCTGTGAGGGTGCTGAGGCGCTGGCACAGGGTGCCCAGAGAAGCTGTGGCTGCCCCATCCCTGGCAGTGTTCAAGGCCAGGTTGGACACAGGGGCTTGAAGCAACCTGCTCTAGTGGAAGGTGTCCCTGCCCGTGGCAGAGGGTTGGAACTGGATGATCTTAAGATCCCTTCCAACCCAAACCATTCAGTGATCTATGATTCTCAGTGGCTGTCGAGGCATGGCATTGACATTTCTGTGACTGTAGGTTACTGTGAGCACCTTGAACTGCTCTTATTTCCTACTGACTAGCAGCCCAAGCATGACAACTTGTTACTTATCTTCTAAGGGGCTTGCTGACTGCAACATACCTGAAAGCAATAAAAAATAAAGAAAGCCCTCATTGCTCCCAAGGTGTCAACCATGGTCAAATACTTCACAGTCACAGATTGATTTTGTGCTGCCAGAATAAAACCTCTCTGTGCCTGGGACGGAGCACTTGGGGAGGAGAAGTACAGAACAACTCCCACAGGAATTGATTTCAGTCTTTTCTCAGCAATATGCATCCTGTGGGGACCAATCTTCTCTAACTTGTACACTGAGCATCACCTGCATGTACAAAACTGAACCATTAGCACTGCAACTTCATGGACTGTCCCAAGGTGCTCAACATCCGCAGAGGTAAGGGCTCTGTGATAGTCTGTAGAGAACCTCACATCATTGGTGTAGGGCTGCATTTGCCTGGACAGAAGGAAACAAACACCAACCAAATAAAGCCCAAACCCACATCTACAGGGAGAGGAGGAACCATTTATTTCTCAGGCTAATTGTAAAGGGAAAAAGATAGATACAAATAACTGTGAGAACCTCACCACAATCCTGGGACCCTGGCAATGGGAAACTAGCCAGATGTCATGCTGGCAAAGTGATCAAAGGAGTGCTGTAAATGCAAGTCATCTGGTCATGGCAGTGTAGCACTGATCAGAGGCCTGGACATAACAGAGAAAGAACTAAAAATACACACAGGCACTGTTATCAACTCCAAGTGCCAACAGTTATTTTTCATCCAGGCATCACACACTGTTTACTGTCCTCTGCCATTCCAGACATCAAGCAAATGCATGCTACACAAATCCGACCTTTATTTGTAATTCATCTGCTATTAAAAAACATATCAGTGATTTGATATGCTGCTGTATCACACTGAGTATGTATAAATGCATTAGGGAAGAGGGATGGGAGCTGACTCTAGCTCCAATTTCATGGTACCGAGGGCAAAAGCAGTCACTGTTCTGTGTGCATTCAGCACCTAGCACAATGGAGCCTCAGTCCAGGGCTGTGACTCCGATGCTTCTACGATGCAAATAATCAATCATTTAACATTCCCAGACCTCTGCAAGACTTCCAGCATTTAAAAATAACTTGAAAACTCTGCTTAAGGATCCACAAGTGCCTAGGTCAGTCAGGGTTGTGTGCACTCAAGCATCTTTGAAATAGATCAGTACTGCTAATTCCTCATCTCCAACAAAAGCACATACACACAAGCAGGGAAAAAAGCAAGCCCAATAATCTGTTGAGCTCTTTTCCTTAGCTATTACAGGCAGAGCAGTAATGTCTGTAACACTGTCCTTGTACGTGCTAGCAAAGAAGACAAGAGAGGCTTTGAAAGGAGACCCTTTGCAGTCAGCTTCCCCCAGATCAGAGCTCTGGACAGCAAGGCTGAGTGCATTTATGCTGTTCACAGGCACTGCCAGGGTCGACACCAGAAGAAGGCACAGAGCTGCTTAATTAATTGCTCCCTTTCTGGGGCTGTGTTTTGCTCTGCCCAGTTCTCTGGGAAAGTTTGAGAGCTTAATGGGGAGGCCAAGAGAATACCCACAGTGCTCCTTCCGATGCGCTGAAACGCTGCACAAGGCAGGGCTCCATCCTGCAAAATGGATTTAAACTGAAACAGGGGAAGTTCAGGTTAGATATAAAGAAGAAGTTCTTTACAGTAAGGGTGGTGAGGTGCTGGAACAGGTTGCCCAGAGAAGTTGTAAGTACTCTATCCCTGGCAGTGTTCAAGGCCAGGCTGGGCAGAGCCTTGGGTGACAGAGTCTAGTGTGAGGAGTCCCTGCCCATGGCAGGGGGTTGGAACTAGATGATCTTAAGGTCCTTTCCAATCTTAACTATTCTGTGATTCTATGATTCTATGAAAATGCTGAGCTTGCCTGCTCCAGTCCAGTGAAGGGATTAGCCACCTTCAAGGTACAGGCTCACAGGAGTCCCTTTGGATTGCAAACAAAAGTGCTTGGATGCACTGCAGGAGCACAGCATCCTCTGCATGGATGATCACTTGATGGAGGCTCATTCTTGCACAGGCTGTTTATGATAAGGTACCCTGTGAACACTTAGGAAGGGAGAAACTTCCCCTTTCTCACCCTTATT